ACAATAAAAGGAGATTATTACTGATTTGGTGTTGCTATCATTTAGGAAACTTACTTAAGATTCTAATTTGGTACTTGAATTTTTGATTGAGTTTTGCTGGGATTCAATGATTTGTTCTTGTTGTCATTTGGGAAATGCGTTTTGTGAAGAAAAAGACAATTTTAAAGATAAATTTGTAATTTTACTTTTACAATTATTCGACTTAAAAAATGTATAGCCATTGGGTGTTAAATTGGGATCACATGAAGAATTGTCCTTTTTTTTTTTTTAAAGGGTTAGGACATGTTGATTCCTTTCAATTTCACGCTGGACTAGAAAACAGCATGCGCAATTGAACCACTTTTTAAATATTAGTTAGGAACAACAAATACAATTGAGCTTCTTTTATCTTGATTTTCATGGATTTTTATACTGTAATGTTTTCAGGTTTGGACTAATGGTGCATATGTGAGTTTGTATCATAGGGTGGTGGTGAACACAAAAAGGGAAATGTTTTTCTATTCCATTCTTCTTCTTCCCTGCCCCACTATGCCATGATTAAGCCTTTGGAGGAGCTGGGGAACGGGCAGAACCCAGCCAATTACACAGAATTCAACTGGGGAAAGTTTTTCGTTGCTAGAAACGAGAATGATTAAAAAGAAGCAAGACATTGAAAACATTCAAATTGATCATTTTAAGAAATCTGAGTGACAATATTGTAGAGTTAAAGTGGTGTACTTGTAAATTGTAATTAAGTTGCGACTTGAGAGTGTACAATAAGGATATATGGAAGGACTGTGTTTTGATCTTCTGTACTTATAGTGCCCTTTTTCTCAGTAAATACCTTTGCTAGGCAAATTATAAATTGCCATAGAAATGAATAAAAAGAACTGCTAATTCAAACAGCATTTTAATTTTTAAGGTATATGCTGTAACCATCACAGATCTAAGCAATGACGCAATTTGAAGAGAATCTCCATGATTGAAAGCAGGCGCGTTCTATAGGTGGAATATACATAATATATAGTATAATTATAATATGGGCAATAATTGATATAGATTTTGATTTAACATATTGTGTAATATATTTATTAAAAAATTATTATTTTTAATTTAAATTAAATACAGATAAATTTAATTATATAATCAT